TAGTCAGCAAAGGTACAATCCTTTGTTCAATAGATATCCATATCTGGGTGGGGGAAGAGGGGAATCCTGTAAAATATACCACATGTTATTTTCTTCCTTTCTTTTTCTTTCTTCAGAGATTTTCTGAACAACCTTGGAAGTAGAAGCTGGTAGATCCAGCACCCCCATTTGCACTGAATAATGCCACTGGGAGGAATTCAGTATCTCCTTGTAGTTTAAGGAGAATCCAGACATCCTCATTTCTTTTGTCTAACTGCATTATGGAAACTGCTCTTATTCTTTGCTATCAGCTAGATGTGAAGCTCCTTCAATTGGAAGAAATTTTAACAGCAAGTCCATTCCTAGTTTACTCCCCACATGCTGCAGCCCAGTATCTGACCTCCTACGTTCTAACTTTTGGTGCTGTGTCTCTTTCTGTGGCAGAAAGCTAATGCTTTTTATAAAAGGCAGCTTTTAAAATGTGGATGGCTGTGTTAAAGCATGAGTGCTGGCTGCTGAACATGCAGTGCCTGAAACATAGAGAAAGAAAAAGCAGTTTATTCTATGCAGTGTGATCACAAACCTCTAAATTTCAATGCTGGCTAGATGATATCTCAGATAACCCACTATGTACAGTCCTGCATGGATGGAAACATGTGGAAAAGCTCTTTCATCAGCATGAAATCCAATCAGCACCCATTTCTTCCAAAGAGAAAGAGAAACTTGCAGGGTTTAATGGCCTAATTCACTTCCAAGAAAGCCTCAAGTCCCAGCAGATGCAGAAACCTTTTGGATGTCTTCAGACACTAATGACTCCATTAGTTGTGAGAACTCATAGTCCATGACAGAACTTCACATCCTAAAACATGACCCACACACAGACTGTCATTTTAGATTTACTTACCATCCTTGCACATCCTTCCACTGCTTTTTACCTGTAGCAAGGATAGTGGTTTGTCTCCAACTTTATACTTTTATAATGACAACACAACAACAATAATCAAAAGTCAACATGATAGGATTACCTAACCATTAGAAAAGTAATTCAAAGAGCTTTAGAATAAAGAAGAGAAAACCTGAAAAGGACAACACAAACATTTTTCCACACTTACAAGATTTTAAAAAGCAGTTCAGCATGGTATACTATGTTCAGGGACCACAGATCACAAGGCCAGGTATTCTTGCTTCTAGTCTTCCTTTTTTCTTTCTTTCTTCCTCTCTTCCTTGCAGTTATCCTTCTTGCTCTTCAGGCTGCCCTGATGTACAAGTGATGCTCCAGGATCACAGCTATCAATGATAAATGGAGAAACAAGAAAAACCTCCTCAGGCTGGTCCTCCCAAAGGATGGATGTGACCAAGACCAGGTCAGAGAGTTACAATCAGACCTGCCTTTTTCTCATACCCATATAGCATGTGGAGAATAGAAGGCTTAAGACAACTTAAAAATAGTAAGTGAATTCCCCCTTGCCTTCCCTTCCACCACCCAGTCTTTTTCTAGATGTCTTAAAAAACATGGGTGGAGAGACCAATTACTGACTTACACCAAATATCAATTGGTATTCAAGTATGACTTTGCACACATACATCTGCCTGAGACAAGTGATTAGAAGTCTCTCACTAGGTCTGCCCAGCTATTAGGAGGACAGTTGGTTCTCCTCATAGCACAGGACTGTGGTTTCAGTACGTCTGGTAGCCAGTTTTGAACTGTTTGCTGTGTTTACTTCTCATACCTTCCCTGACACCCAGCACGTAACACATTCTGAGACATAACTAACCTGTGAAATCCTGCTGTGAGAGTGTATGAACTTCTTACAGCTCTGTAAACAGAAAATCAGGTTTGAGAGCTACATGGTATCACCAAAATCTAGAGACCATCGTGGTGTTGGAGTGAAAAAAAGAAGTATTGCCTGAGAGTAGACAGGAAAAGTGCAACATGTTTTTTTCACATCAGCATCATCAAAATCATCAGGATTTTGTTTTCAGCAAAACATTCCTAAAAGCTTCTAAATTGTGTCTGTTTTCTAATCCCCTCTAAATCCAACTTTTGCCCTGTACCAGATCAAAGCATTAATTTCAAGGGAACCAGCCTAACCAAAAGTCACTGCAGCCTTACAAAACCTGCTCCCATTGTGTACTCTACAAACACTCTCATGGCACATCTATTTAATATACGGGCATGCTAGAACCGATCCGCTGCTCTGCTCTGCATCAATAGCTTTCAAGGACTCCCATCTCACCAGAGAGGGGACAGACACAAATTACTACAGAACAAAATGCTGTCAGAGAATAATGCCGTCTGGTCGCTTCCATCCAATAAAAGCCAAAGCAACCATAAAACTTTCATGGAAAAGGGTGATTATTGACTCTATGAGGATAACACTTTATCACAGCACCTTTTTTCTATTATGCCAAAATAAATTAAAATATCATAGTCCTTCTTTATGGCCAGTTTACCTTACACTTCTGATTTTGGCATTTTTTAAAATGATCTTGGAAAGTCAGAAAGCTTACTAGTTCTTTCTAATGCTGAAACAGAAAGTGAATGCTCAGTGTGCAACACAGAGGTATTTTAAACATAAATACAGTGATTGATGCATTAAGCTGTGAACTAGACAGTACAATGTTTCAAAACCAGTTCCTACTTCCTTCATTTCTCTCCTCATGTTTAGTACCAAAATGTAGATTCTTTCCTAAACTGGAAAGGTACATCATAAGAGCTCATAATTTCTATCTTTTTCCCATTTGTACATATGCCTGTGTCTTGATAGCTGATCCAGGCTAACTTAAAAAGTCTCACTTTTCCTCCAAGGCAAACCAGACATGTATTTTCTCAAAGATGTGAATTTTATATATCACATTTTTGAGTATAGTTATTAGTATTTCCTTTAAGGACATCAATGCTACATTTTAAGAAAAAAAAAAAAGTGAGAAATCAGAGAACATTTGAGTTACTGGTTACTCATTGAATAGTCTGAATCTTAAAGCTAGACAGATTTCTAAGAAAATTAATTAGTTGTCTTAAGGACCACACAGTATGAAAAATAACAGTGAATATTAAACACTTATGCAGATACAAATCATCTTTTAAGAATTATTATTTATAGGTAACTCCGAGGAGTCCATTTCTATGTTCTCCCCAGAATATTCATTACGAAAGTAATTCTAAAATATGACAAAGTGTTGTTTCTAAGTTTTTGTTAGTAACGGCTTTATTCTGCTTGAGAGGTGAAAACATGCAAATTAATAGAGTTTGGCAGTATATGTCTGCAGTTAGGTTCTTTTTAAAAAAGGTCAGGCGATGTTGGAGCGTTGGACATGATTCAGATTTTAGCATGCACTGATTTTATGAATGTTTAATTTTCCAACTCTAATCCATTTATATAAATGTGACTTCTGAGTCAAGTGAGAGGTAGTTGAAAAGCAGCCTTATTTTAAATTTTACCAAAATGTTATAGCTATTGAACAAATGAATCATCGATTTATTTTACTTAACATAATTTATCTTGAAACCTATACGTGTGTATGCATTGTATCAGTTATCACAGATCACCAAGAATATGCAGTCAGTACAGCCATTAATCATCCACGCAGACACCTTGGAAAAGGCCAAAGTTTGAACTGTGTCTCAAATGATGTACATATTGGAAGAAGAAATTCTGTTTCAGAAGCGAAATGGCATAAAATATCATCCCTGAACCAAAAATAATAGTAATAAAAAAAGCTCACTGAGTTTTTAAAACGAGTTTTTTTAAAATATGAGTATTTAAAATAAACAAGAACAGAATTGTTGTATTTTATGCAAAAAAAACCCAACAAAAAAAACAAAAAAAAAAAAGAAGAGGCAGGTTACTTTTATGAATGCCATAAAAATAAACTATTTTAATAGATACATAAATAAAACGTTTAAAGTAGAATTTTCCCCCAAACATGAAGATGGCCTAGCTTCTGTACAGAAACCGAACAATATTCATGTGACTACTAAATTAAATAATCACTTTGTTACATTCAAAATAATTGGAGGCAAATACATAATGAAATGATGCACCTGAATCATTCTCCTTTCTCGTCCTAGCAGTGTATACAGTATTTTCTTGTTTTACAGTACTCTGAGGATATGGATCTCTTAAATAAAATCTCTGAATTATAAGAGTGGAAATAAAATTAAAAATAAAAGGGAAAAATACGAAACAACCCTAGCACCCAAAGGGGTACCTTGCATCAGCCAGTAATTAAAGTTTTAATGGAGGAGAAATAAGTATTGTGCTGTAAAATAAATTATGTCTTTTACATATTGCTGTATAGTTATCTTAAACTGTTTAAATATTACATTCACTTTGGTGACGTGTTGTTCTCTATGCGTATAATAAATTATACATGGCATGTGCTACCTGTTCATGTGTGTTAAATAACAGCCTTCTGGTTTTACTACAAATGGGGGAAGCTTAGAACATCTAGGACATTTAAAAAATATTTCTGATTTATGTAAGGCAAAGTCTCATTCAAAGCAGCTTTCCTCCCACCATGGCCCCCTCTCCAGCACCTCCAAAAAGTTACTCTGGTGGCTTCAGGTTTTTGCTGTATTGTATCAAAGAAGGTCACGGCTTGGTGACTAACGCTTTCTGACCCACAGAGGTTCTCAAGTTTTGTTTTCCCTTTCTCTCTATGAATCATCTGTCAATTGGAGAACATCTGCCATTAACAACTCCATACTCTCCAAATATCCCAACTAATTTAGGCAAGAAACTGCCATTTGTTCATCAAAAATCAGTTTGCAGAAATGAGCTGTTACTGTCATTGTTATCTGGAATGTAGCTGTGATGGGCAAGCACCACTCATCCTGTAGAGGAGAAAGTTTGTCATGTGGACGTGTACGTACGCTCAAGGCAAAGTGTTGAGATATCCTGTGCTGGTGAAATCAGAGAACAAAATTAAAGATGACAACCTTCATCCGTAGTGCAGAGCTAGCATTTCTACTATATTCTGTAAGAAGTTCAAGAAGTTTGGCTAAGCTGACTTAGAGTCTATCCACCAGCAAGACGTGAACGGCAATGTAATGATTGTCCTTTCTTCTGATTTGCTTTTTTCTTGTTCTTGTTCTTGTTCTTCTTTTGCTTATTCACACCTTTACTTTTATCAGCTTTCTTTTTCTTCTCATCCTCCTTAAACCATGGACCCCAGACTCCTCCATTCAGCTTTGGGTTACTCCGAGGGTCCTTCGGTGGGTATCGAACGGGAACTGCCGTCTTATTGAACTGTGAAAGCCTCCGCAGCAACTGCTTCACTACATCTGGATACCTTGTAGAGAGGTCCACTCGTTCATACGGATCAGCGGTGATGTTGAAGAGCCACACCGTTTTGCCAGCTGACCAAGAAACGCGTTCGTTGTGCCAGCGGTTGGGGCCCGCGTTACTGAAGGCCTGTGGAGGTACCCAGTCGCTGTATCCTGGATTTCCCGTCAGTAGTTTCCAATGATTCACTCTGATGGCAGACTGAATCGCAGTGTTCCAGATCCCATAGCCAGCTGCCCAGGACCCATTTTTGGCTTTGGTGTAAATTGGGTCAATGTTGTGCAGGATGTCTACCCGTGGAGAACGTCTGCCTTCACTAATGGTTTCCCATATATCATAACCATCCAGCTGGATATCTTCATCGATCTGCCCTTCTGCCAGGGTGATCAAAGTGGGGAACCAGTCTGTGATGTGCACAAGCTCCTTACAAACAGACCCTTTGTTTTTCAGAAGGGGACTATGGACAAACCCAACAGCACGGATCCCTCCTTCCCAATAGGTCCCTTTGCTTCCTCGGAGTGGCCAGTTGCTTCCTCCAGCCATTGGCTGCCCACCATTATCTGAAGAATATATGATGATGCTATTCTCATAGTAGCCATACTGCTTTAAAGCAAGGGTTACGTTGTTTATGGCTTCATCTAAACAAGCCAGCATTGCAGCGTATCTTCGCCTATTGATGTTATTTATCGACCGATAATGTTCAAAATACTTGCCTGGTGCCTGCAAAGGCGAATGAACAGCTTGGTAAGCAATATAGAGGAATATAGGTCTCCTGGGGTTATGAGAAGCTAAGATTTGTTGTACTTTCTGTGTGTACATCTGTGTGGAGTAGATGCCGTTGTCGTGATCCCAAGCTGCGTTGTCATTCTCATACAGGTCATAGCCACATATCCCAGGGCTGTCACATTTGAAGTGGGTGTAATAGTCGCCACTGCCTAAGAGGGAGCCGAAGAACGTGTCAAACCCTCTCTGCGTGGGCATGCATTCTCTGCGATAAAACCCCAAGTGCCATTTGCCAACCATGTGCGTCGAATAACCAACCTCCTTCAGCTTCTGAGGTAGCGTGACGTTATCCAGAGGTAAGCAGTTGGGCTGCGTTGGCCGTATAATGGAGTGCTGGAGGCCGGTGTGTATCTGGTACCTAGAGAAAGAGAGGAGACAGGCATTAGGTTGTGGTGGGGGGAAATGCTCAGATCCTCCTTATGCACGGACACCCATGTGCACAACTAACAGAAAATATTCCTATGCATGCAGCAGTTTTCTCTGGAAATATTTTGAAGTCCATATGTCAAAAACTAACAGGGTCATACTATTAGACCTGCTGAAACAGGAGACTGGTATCTGTTTCTCTTCACACATGTTTAAGAGCTGTTCCCCCACCTCCTTGGCCAGTGGGCAACAATACCGAGGAAGAAACACGACAGAGCAGCATCACACACTTCTCTCCCTGCTGGCCCCATTTTTAACGTTTTAATTTCCTTGTAGCTGTGAGCAATATCAAAGGATCTCAGAGGCAATGTGCTGCCTGGGAACCATTATTTGGGCACTACTATTTATAGGTAGTGGTCAAACTCATAGACCTTGATGGCATCCCTTCCGTATGATAAAAACCTCAGAAAGCAGAATGATTGCATTGTGAATAAATACAATTTTTTCACTGCCTCATAATTTGCTCGTGGTAAACATATCTACAGCATATAGATATGCTGGATTTTGAGCATGTAGCGGCAGTATATTTAAAGGACAGTATAATAAATTCTGCAGTGCAGTGCAGTGCAGTACAGTCTATGTGTAAAGAATACATATGGCCTCCATATGATTAGAAAATGAATTCAGCATGGGCAGTAGTATGTATCAAAAATCAAGGACAAATCCATTTAAATGAGCTTGACATTAAAAATTAAAATCTAACAGCACAGTGTAAACCAAAGAAGATCTCTCCCTGAGCTTGAGGCATGAATAGAACAGCCAGGTCCACCAACACCGTGAATCTTCCTCAAAACCACTTCCTTTATTCATTTGTGGCAGTAGGAGTTGGGGCTTCCTGACACATTCTGCTAGCACTGCCAATCTGACTGGCCTCCTGAGCTATCTAGAAAATTAAAAGCATTAGACTCTGCCTGCCCATAAATAACTTGAAGTCTGCTTTTATATGATGTCTTCCTGGCCAAGATCTTAGAAGGCACCAGAGATGTCTTTAATGTCTGCCAATCTGTAAAAACTCTGTAACTCCCATTCTAGTCTTGAACTTAGTTCCACAGAACAGAAGCTCTAGTCTAACTAATTAATTGCAGAAGCCTTGGGTGTCACACTCCTCTGCTTTAAGCTAGCGTGTACCAAATACACCGCAGCACTGCTGCTTTACTTTGTCTCTCTGGCACTTTTGCAGAGCATTCTTTCTGTTACCAGCTTGTGGATCTGGAGCCCTGCCATCCAATTGTCCCAAAAATCACATGCTGTTGCTGACAGGAGGTACTGCAGTAGTTAAAGCATACTCTCAAAATTCAGGTCTTCTGGGATCTACACTTGGCTTTTGAAAAAGAAGCGCCATGCACACAGAAATACCCACGTTTCCCATGATACAAGTATAAGCCTTGTCTTTTAGAACAGGTAAGTTTCAATACAGAAACCACACTGACTACGGCAATGCCCCATACTTCAGTTCACTCCATCTTTGAGAGTCCTCAGAGAACAATGTTCCCAAGACATTTCATTTCCTTCTCCTTCTCTTTCCTCCGCCTTTTTCAACTCTTTCAGTGAATTCCCCTTATTTGATCCAACTGAAGAAGTCCTTGCCTCCACCCTGCTATTTTAGTAAACAGCTTCTGCTTTCCCAAATGTTGACAGATTCCTCTATCTTGAGATCAACCCCAATCCCAGCTGGACAGCTTCTCCCCTGATAAGCCATTTTGCTGGAAGTCAGAATTTTCTCTAAAGCGATGCTGTTGCAGTAGAGATCCTTCCACCCTTCTTGACACAGAACCTAAGCCTGGGGGGAAGAGGCAACAGAATTTCTGACACATTGCAAACCAATTTGCCTCTTGACAATGCCCACACAAAGTATGGTATTCATACAAAGCTAATTCTCATAAAGAGTTCATAAACAACAGGCAAATTCTCCACCTTGGGCTTTTCAATTATTTAGCCAAGCATGAAATTCCTACACAGCTAATCTGACAAATAGCGTACCAAAAAATATCAAGAATTAGCCTCAGTTATAGATGATATTCTTAGGAAAATATCTGGCATACAGCAATGCATTTTCTTTTGGCAGTGCCCTCAATATGCTGGTTACAACACACACAGAGCAGTCCTGTGTCAGGTCCCTGCTGCTGTCTTTTTGCAGGAGACTTTGGTGTGTTTCCCATATTTGTGTGCATATGTTATTTATGGCATAGCTATGCTTCTCAATATGCATCTATGTACACAAATAGGTACTAGATAGATATTTAGACGTGTAAAAAGGGATCTGCAAAATAACCAATTTAAAGTAAAAATACTTCAGCTGGAGAAATGTTTCAAAGAAATATCAACCTGTAATTATCCGAATATTCTCCACTATTACAAAATGGTCAAGATCTGTTCACTCTGCTGTGCCATATGCTTTCCTAATTGATCCATTATGTGCCAATATTGCTTTTTCAGTGAAAGTCTTTTGCTTTCAGAGGACTTGCAGACCATTCATGGGAAAACAAAGTAAAATGAGAGCAAAAGACAGTGATTATATGGAACTAAATGGCATCAATAACAATAGGAAAACTGTCTCAAGATTACTGTTTTGAAACTGTATTTAGACTGTGCAAGAGAAAAAAAAAAAACCTGAAAAAACACAAAGGAAATAAGAGGCAGATGCTGATTTGGGGGCAGTCCTCTAGAAGATAAACTCATGAGCTCACTAACTGCCATGAAATGTCTGTGAACTACGTTCTATCGATTTCATTGCTTTCCACCACAACATTAGCTAATTCTTTAAAATGAACTGGTTGAATTTAATTCCAAATACAGAAAGCAAGTTATGATCATGAATAGTCTGGAATTCATTATAATTACAACACGAGTAACCAGTTAAATATAAGCAAATGCTGACAGGCCACAGAATCTAATGTCATAGTTTGGACTTCGACCTTTATGGACAGTGTTCACAGAAAGGTAATAGACTGATAATATTCTGTACAAAGTATAGAGGTTCAAGACCTGTGAATACTTTATACACATGTACTATGCTCTCTTTCTTCTTGCCCCTCCAATTTTCTAGATTGTGGCTGTTTCTATTAGACACAGGAAATATGGGACTTAGAGAGCAAGGAACTAAGTAAAATTTATGTGAAATGTTCAGCTAATCATATGCATATTGAAAATTAATTTATGGTCACTACATGGGGATGGCTCCTCTTTGCACATTTCCTACTTTTTATTTCTATTGTACTAGTGCAGATGGTGCTCAGATTTTATAGTAAAATCACTGATTACTGTTCCAGCCGTTCAATACTAGTTGACTGTTACACCGCTTTGTTTACTTGTTTGTGGTGGAAACTTGAAAGCAAACAGACTCCCAGTGGGAGTATCTTGACGACTTCATAGGGCCTTTGCTTCTTGGGTGCTGAGAAAAAGATTTCAGAGAATTCTTAAAATAAACAATCAAATAAATCCTCTATCCTGAGTATGAGCTCACGATACTGCATTCCAATATGATTGCCCTTCCTGTTTTAATCTAGAAAGACACAAAGCTAAGCCAGTGGCTTTTATGTTATTCCACTTTCAGTCTCAAGGTGCAGAGACCATTAAGTTGTTAAAAGTCAAATGCACATTCAAGTGCCAGAATCTTTGTGGATGTAAATCACCATGGGCACATCAAAGTCAATTTGACCTGAGCTTGAGGAATGCATTAATATTTGGAGGCTTAATTTCCCCCTTCTGACGTCCTTTGTGAAGCTAAAGAGTTTCCCAGTTCTCATCTGGAGAGAAAACCAAAGTAGACAAGTGGATCAATGACAGTAATCTTTGCGCATTTTCACTACTATTCCCCTGAAGCAGAGAGCAAGACTGAAGGTCTGTGTAGTAGAAGAGATTCACCTGGCATACCTCACATCCCCATGGTGCTTATGCAGTCTCAAACATACGCAGGCCAAAACAGTTCTCCTTAAAAAAAAATCCCCTAAGGAGTTTTCTATTATTTTCCCCCTTAACTTCAGGGTGGATTCTGCACTGAGCAAGAGGCTGGGGTGTTTTTAATTTTGTAATGTGCCTGTACAGAACTATTGACTTTAAGCTTTCATCATTTTAAAATACTGCACTAATTGTCTTCAAACTGAGATTCTTTTAAGGCTTACTGAAGATTAACAAAAACTCGCAGTTTGAAGTTTCTAATTTCGGGAACTTTTGCTGGCACAGTTCTAGTAGAACGCGGGAAAATGTATTTTTGTTATGCTTACAGAGTTCAGGATATGTAAAAAAAAAATAAACCCGTTTTTAAAATAATAACCTCTAGCCTAGGATGTACAAAAGACTATTTTAAATAAATTAAAAAAAACTTCTGCTAGAAGGAGTTGCAAGCAGACTGATAGCACTGAGGTTATGCATGTTACATGAATTAAAGGGATCGTTACTAACAATTATGCATCTCCTTGTTAAAAATATTCAAATACAATAAGTAGATACCAGTCAATAAAGCAGGCTAAAGGGACTGCTGAAGAACAGCCTTTGATACCTTACCTGAAACTGTGTAACACAACAGCTTGAAATACAGCTATTCCAGATGAGTAAAGAACATAAAAATCAGTGACGCTTTTTGCCTGGAGGTTTGAGTCCTCAGAGGTCCCAGCTAGTGGGGTGAAAAAATAAAACCCCAACATCCCACTTGCCACCAGCAAATCATTAGAAGCTGGACTCAATGATCCATAAGAGAAAATAGAGATCATAAAGACTTCTTTATAGGGGACTGAGGCTTTAGCATGGAGCCCACAAACCCTCAACATTTGGAAAAGCTGTTACTCTGGGGAGATATGTTTACTCTCATTTACCTTAAAGCTGGTTTGGGCTCTGTAAGATGTTTGAGAGGCAAGAAGCAGCTGACTGGAGGCTCTTCTGCTTTCAGCCCTCCAAACAGGCTGGTGAAGCGCAAGGCATAGAGTTGCACAGTTC